GATTTTTATTAGCAAAGCACAAATGACAGTGGACTCTCAGTGAAACCACCACTGTACTTCCAGGCTCCAGCCTACTCTCCCTTCACCGTCACCATTCCAAACCATTCTTTATCTATTGCAACCATCCATTTGGTGTCGTCAGCGGTGGTAAGATGGCGATACTGTACGCGTTGGTGGCCAGGGGGACGACGGTTCTGGCGGAGTTCAGCGCCGTGACGGGGAACACCGGGGCAGTAGCGCGCCGGATTCTGGAGAAGCTGCCGGGGGAAGCCGAGTCCAGGCTCTGCTTCTCTCAAGATCGTTACATCTTTCACATTTTGAGATCCGATGGCCTCACCTACCTTTGTATGGCTAACGACACCTTCGGCAGTATGTGCCCTAAATCCCAATCTTTTCATATGATGATTACAGTCATTTTCCTTCAAATTCATAGTTAAAATTTTCGCCTGAATATTGTCTTATTATTATGTAACTATTCCGTTTGTACTGATAGGTTTTCCCAACTGGAATATGATCTTGTTGGTTTAATTTTCTTGATTTTTTTTTTTTCTGAAACAAAATGTTATGAACTAATTTTTATCTCAATTCAATGTGACTCTTTTCTCCTGTCATAGTTTTTCTATGAGTTTGGAGGCTTCATCCTCTTTCCACTTTGAAGATCAGTTATTGGATGATGCAGATAGTTAGATTAGGAATTTGTGCATTCACTTAGTCTGGGATTATATTGTGAACTATTATGAATTAGTCCTTGAACTTGCGGTCAAATTTGTGGACAATCATTAGGTATAAATTTGTCAAATACCTGCTTTGCAAAGTTGGATTATCCCAGACCCAGAGATAAGTTCTGTGTGTGTGTGTGTGTGTGTTTTTTTTTTTTTTTTCATTTTGATTTTCTTTCTGTGGTGGAGAAAGTGGGAAGACTGCAGAAATCTATAAGGCTATCAATCTAGGAGTACCCACTTACAAAACATCATAATTGATCAACGTTTTAAAGTATATCGGCAGTTGACTTAGTATAGTGAATAGAATAGAACGAATGTTTGCTATATTGCTGTTTTCGAACTGTAATATACACTTGCTTCTATGAATTATGAAATTCAAGCAGAAACTCTTTTACTTGTCCGGTTCAATACAAATAGACATATCACATATTTGTGATAATGGGGTAAAATATTAGAGAAATAAAAGATTCATCAGAATTGCCTTGTGGCTGTGGTATTTGCTCTAGTTTTGGGAGAGAATTCCAATTTAGTCATTACTTGACCTTGACTGCAATGAATGGTTGGTTGAAGGGAGGTTGTTGAGGTCATGTTGCTTGCTGTGTGTGCAAAGAGTAATTTTCTCTTAGCTACTTATACTTATACCCTATTTACATTTAACTATCTAAACTTTTACTCATAACAAAAAGCAGCCCTTATTTGTTTGGTGTTAGACTAAATTTCGACCAATTTTCTGGTCAATTATATATGATGTGCATATCACATTATTATGTTTAAGAGTAGTTGTGTCATTTTATACTGTGTGATATACACAACCAGAAAGAGAGCCAATTGAAACTGAAACGCATATCATTGTTCCACCAGTTACTCTCTCCAAATGATATATATTTACTTGTATATTCATGGTGTATGTATAAATACTTTGAATATATGTCTCCAAATTTGATCTGATCTTTGTCTTTTTTCTTTTCCTTGACCCAAAAAAAAAAAAAAACTGTTCCTTTGTGAGTTTGTGCATAGTTGATTTGTGCAAAAGATGCAAAGTTTGCCTACACTAGAGAAAGAGCAATGTCTAAAATTGGGACAAACAAAACCAAAGGCTACCTGAGAACTCTCTCACTTTCCTTGCTCTGAGGCCTAATGACAATATTTCAGATTCAAAAAGCAGTTAGTTACTGAGGCATTTGAATCAACATCAGGACTTGACTTTTTCTTGTCTCTTTGTTTTTGAAAGCTTTATTGATGAAAAAAATTCAAACTTTTTCATCTTGTGACAATTATAGCCAAATCTTTTAAAGTTGGTAATTTAGTACTAGAATTTTAAATCTCGGAGCTATTTTAGCCAATCTTCTAACTCCGCACACACACACACACAAAATCCAACCCAATATTAATGTTCAAATACAAAGAAAATTTTTGATGTGCAATACTTGGAATTTTTGCTCAAACTTGTTTGTTTTGAATGTCTAGTGCCCAAGCAAAAGTACAACGCACTCTAGATTGTATTTTAAGGCTTTTGTTTGACTTTACTCAGGGAGGATACCATTCTCATATTTGGAGGATGTTCAAATGAGATTTATGAAGAACTATGGTAAGATTGCTTCCCATGCACCTGCTTATGCAATGAATGATGAATTCTCAAGGGTTTTACATCAACAAATGGAGTTCTTTTCTAGGAACCCTAGTGCTGACACACTAAATCATGTTCGAGGTGAAGTGGGTGAGGCAAGTGTTTCTTCTATTGTTATTAAAAAGAGAAAGAACTACATATTTTATTTCAGTTTGAGCAGAATAAATTAGTGAATTATTGTTATAACTTGATCTTGAGGATATATTATTCAATCATAAGGGAGAAAATATATTTGATATTTTATAATCATAATTCAAGTCTATCTAGTAAAATTGTTGGAATGCAACTGATGTATTTACCAATACATGCTTTACAAATGAAGATTTAGTATTTTAACTTGATTTGCTTTCTGCCTTCTGCTCCAAACTTCTGTCTCTTCTTTTTTGTATTTCTATAAATGTGACTTTTCTAAAATGTTTCTTTGTCTTATCTGTGAAATTTAAATCCAGATACGCACCATCATGGTGGATAATATTGAGAAAATACTTGAGAGAGGTGACCGAATTGAGCTTCTGGTTGACAAAACAGCCACGATGCAAGATAATTCATTTCACTTCAGGAAGCAGTCAAAGCGCCTTAGACGAGCTTTATGGATGAAAAATGCAAAGCTCTTGTAAGTCTTTCTTGACCTGGAACGGTCAATAGTCCATAGAAGAAAAGGAAAAACTCCGATTTCCCATTTACTCACAGGAGAAATTTTCCATTTTTTCAAAAAAATGGAAAACAAGAGACTTTTCTTTAGGTAGCTATCTATAGACCTGCAACTTAAATGACTCTTCATCCTAAGAATTTCCTTACGAGACTCACTAATATCAGCCATTGATCTAGCCCCAATTGGAGGACCCCAAATAACTCTTGCATTTCAAACTTTAGTACAGAGCATGAATAAGTAACAATTAACCCATCCATTTGCCTACTTAATCCAGAGGAGTGCAGAGTTTTTACTCCTGTTTGTTGTTTGATTTTGCTGATGGGCACTAACTTATATTTTGTTTATGTTCCACAGGGCTTTACTGACATGCTTGATTGTCCTCCTCCTTTACTGTATAATTGCTGCTTTCTGTGGGGGTATCACCCTAAGTTCCTGCAGATCATGACTTCTTGGGGGCAAGCCAGTGGCTCTTTGGCTATCGACCTAACGAAAGTTATAAGAAGATGGTGTTTGCCTATCAGTGTAAGATGTTCAAGACTAATTGAGCAGTAGTTGGGGATAAAGCATGATATGATTTGCATTTTCTTAGTTGGTACACTCATCTTCTGTAAATGTGTCTTTGCCTTCCTCTATTTTTCTAAAAACTGCAGCTTTGATTTTTTTTTTTTTCCTGTCTTTTTAGTATAATACAATGATACATATATCATGTATCTCCACAGATGTATAAACCATAAAGAATTCCATTTAACCAGGTTTTCCCTTGTCAATATTACTTTATTCTACACTTTAGTCTTTGAGTTATATGTCAAGTCTTTCCGTTATTATCGTGTGTATTTTTTGTCCCTAAATTATTTTCAAAGTGAAAATCTTAATTTCATCTTCTTATTTTATGTCTTGTATTTCAATAAAAAAAAATGTTTTTTGTTTTTTATTTTTATATATATATATATTTTTGTTTTGTTTTGTTTTGTTTTTTTTTTTTTTTTGTTTTTTTTTTTTTTTGTGTCATGGGATAAAAGTTTGAAACTTGTATAATGGAAAGTAGGCAATAAAGCATGGGCGGATCTTGGGGCAATGGGGCCGTTGCCCCCTCCCACCCCTTATATATATGTATGTATATATATACATATATAGCAAAAGCGTATATATAAAAATGTAATGTATATGCTGCTTAGTTTTTTTTTAATACTATTTAGTCTGTTATAATGTTATAATGCAGTATTCGTTCATAATTACTTTCTTAATCTAATGAAGTACAAAGAGTCAATACTGCTCATATTTGTGTCATTAGATCACAAGGTCATTGGCTATTTAGGTAATTTAGTTGGTTCTATTCCAATTAATATTGTTTATAAAATTGATTTTTATATATTATTCTCAATAGTTTTGCTTATGCGTAATTCATATTGATTTGCAACTTGCCAACTTATCTCAATAGTTTTACCTATGCCTAATTCATATTGATTTGCAACTTGCTAACTTGCTAGACTAACTGCCTAACTGGTTAAGTATAATTCTAAAAATGAGATGTTTATCCTTAAATACTATTGATTGTGGTACAATGTAGTATCTATAGATAGCAAAGTGTTAAAATTTCTGCCTCAAGTATCATATAATTGATTATAAATGTTGTATTGCAACTTATAATATATTTTCTATTTGAATGTGTTTGATATTTTGTTATCCATATTTGTAAATTCATTTGAATTTTGCCCCACTGAAAAAAAAAAAAAAAAAAAAAAAAAAAAAAAAGTATCCACCCTTGTAATAAAGAATTGAGGTAGATGTAAGGTAATGCATTTCTGGGAGAAATTAGGGAGACGTTGCCATGTGTTTTGGGAAGAAGCGCACCAGTTGTGGTAGGCCCATATTTCCCAATTTCTTTTGCCGACCAAACACTCCCTCCTCCTTACATCGCCCATCCGACACGTTGGTTACTCATCCCAGGAATGGGAAATCTGGTAGACCCAACACATGGATATCGACTCATAGTATCATTGGATTGAAAGGATTTATTTATTTAGTAAACAAAGATGAAAACACAAGAATATTCTGTTCATCTGTTATAGTTGCTACCTATGCATACATTTTCTGTTTGCCAACTTTTTTTTTTTTTTTTTTTTTTTAATATTATGGTATAAGCCAAGACTGCGGCAAAGAGCATCAATCTTTTGGCTTCATCCTGTGATTCCTCACATTCCCATTTTAAACACCCAAAGCCTAATAAATCTTCTATTCTTCTCCTCCATCAAGCTTCTTGTCATTTAATTTCAATCTTTGAATCTATGATGGCGATGGCGACTCTCCTTAACCCTTTAATCCCTTCTTCTCTGATTACCAAATCTCTCCGCTCACCGAAATCTCCATTTCTCAGTCCACCCACCCAGACAAAGTCTTGTAGTCAAGCAGTAAAAAGCACTGGTAAATTTGGTAGCTTTCTTGACTTGGAACCCACATCAAAGCCAGAGTCTTTGGATCTTGATCTTTCCTGGCATGATCCCACTTCAGCCCGGCCGCAATTCGACGTCATCGTGGTCGGCGCCGGCCCGGCCGGCCTCCGGCTAGCCGAGCAAGTTTCCCGGTATGGGATCAAGGTATGTTGTGTTGATCCTTCACCTCTTTCCATGTGGCCTAATAACTATGGAGTTTGGGTTGATGAGTTTGAGAGCTTAGGATTAGAGGATTGTCTTGATAAAACATGGCCCATGGCTACTATTCACATCAATGATCATAATACTAAGTACTTGGATAGGGCATATGGGAGAGTGAGTAGGAAGAGGTTGAAGTTAAGGTTGTTGAATGAGTGTATGAATAACAATGTTAAGTTCTATGAAGCTAAGGTTTGGAAAGTGGAGCATCAAGAATTTGAGTCTTGTGTTACATGTGATGATGGTAGGAAGTTGAAGGGGAGTTTAGTGGTTGATGCTAGTGGGTTTGCTAGTAGCTTCATAGAGTATGATAAGCCAAGAAACCATGGCTATCAAATTGCCCATGGCATTTTGGCTGAGGTGGATGCTCATCCATTTGATTTGGACAAGATGGTGTTGATGGATTGGAGGGATTCGCATTTAGGGAACGAGCCCTATTTGCGCGAGCACAATTCAAGGGTTCCCACGTTTTTGTACGCGATGCCATTTGCCTCGAATTTGGTGTTCTTGGAGGAAACCTCGCTTGTTAGCCGCCCATTCTTGTCATACATGGAAGTGAAGAAGAGAATGGTGGCAAGGTTAAGGCATTTAGGCATTAAGGTGAGGAGTGTTATAGAGGAGGAGAAGTGCTTGATTCCCATGGGAGGTCCTCTACCTAGAATTCCTCAAGATGTTTTGGCAATCGGGGGGAACTCAGGGATCGTTCACCCTTCCACGGGGTACATGGTTGCTAGGACTATGGCAATAGCACCAATAGTAGCCGAGGCCATAGCCGAGTGCCTTGGCTCAACCAGAATGATCCGAGGAACACAACTTTATCAACGAGTTTGGAATGGATTGTGGCCCATAGAGAGGAAATGCGTGAGGGAGTTTTACTCTTTTGGAATGGAGACATTGCTGAAGCTCGATTTGAATGGGACTAGGCGGTTCTTTGACGCTTTCTTTGATCTCAATCCTCACTACTGGCACGGCTTCCTCTCCTCAAGATTGTCGCTTCGAGAGCTTATTATGTTGAGCTTGTCCCTCTTTGGGCATGCCTCTAATCTGTCTAAGTTAGATATTGTCACCAAATGCCCTGCTCCCTTGGTTAGAATGGTGGGCAATTTGGCACTTGAAACCATTTAAATAATTGTTTTATCTCAACTTAATGTAATACTTCTCTATAATCAGATATCAAAAAGTGTCTTGTTTGTTAAAGTTTAGAACCTAAAACACTTGACTGATTTATGATAGATTGGTTTAGAAGTGGTGGAAGAGGTTTGACCTATTCCATTATCCATTCATCTACAAAGTAGTTCAATATACCTACATATACATAAAGACAAATCTAAAGGCAATCTGCTTTCAAAATAGGACAGAGGCTTATGGGGAGTGTCTCCAGGAGACCAATCTGCTTCCATTGACTTTAAATTTTCCTCATTTCCAAACATTGGAAACCCGAAAACCGGGTTTACAAACACATCCCTTTTTAATATAGTTAGTGATGGAATTAACAAGATCCAATCACGGGATAAACGCAACAAGCTCTAATGCCATTTTAGAATCTAAGATCAGATTGATGTCACTCAATTGAGCTATAATACGCACTCAATTAGCTAGTTTAACTCGTAACGTTATAAATCTATATGTTACTTATTTTTCAATGCGAGAAACTCTTGACATATATAATTGCAAGTTTTTGAGATATGAATCATTATCTTGAAAGCTTAATGGAGCAAGTATACATGCAACAACTCTCCCTCTAAGAATCAACCAAAATAACCAAAGCATTCTCAAAACCACTCCATCATTTGTGCCCTTCTACCAACAATGTATATATATATTCCAACTCCTTAATGGATCTTCCACAACAAAGCAGCCTAGCTTCCTTCTATCTCCAAGAACACCTCTTCAGATCAATCTGGTATCCCTTCTCTCACCAAAAAGCTAGCTAGCTCCCATGGATTCAGGGAAAAGCAATGGCGAAACAGCGATCCTTATGCCGGAATCCAAGTCCAGCAAGGGTAAAGCCACCATCATTGCCACCACAAAAGCTGTTCCTCTCCAGCAGCAAGGGGGAGGGGGAGGGAGAGGGAGAGGGAGAAGAGGCTTTGCGATTTTCGACTTCATTTTACGGCTGTGCGCACTGGTAACTGCCATAGCTGCCGCAGCTACCATGGCAACTACTGATCAAAGTCTCCCTTTCTTCAACCAGTTCTTCCAGTTCGAAGCAAGCTACGATGATTTCCCCACTTTCTCGTACGCCATTTTCATTTTTTCGATTTGAAATTCTTCTACAACCTTCAATGTATGTATATTTGAACATTTTTTTGTGCAGGTATTTTGTGATTGCGAATGCCATAGCTAGCGCATACCTTGTTCTCTCGTTGCCTTTCTCCATTATCTGCATCGTTCGACCAATTGCAGTCGGTGCAAGACTTCTCCTCCTCATCCTTGACACCGTAATGACAGGTTTCACAACAGCTGCCGCCGCTGCTGCCGCCTCCATATCGTACTTGGCACACACCGGCAATTCCACGGCGAACTGGTTTGCCATTTGCTCGCAGTACACCGACTTCTGCGATCGAGCTAGCGGGGCAGTGGTGGCCTCCTTAATTGCAGCGGTCATCTTCATCTTCCTCGTCATTCTTTCCGGCATCTCTCTCACAAGGCAGCACCGCCACTAAGGCACAAATGGATTTCAAGATTGATAATTTCCTTTGTTTAAACCCTAAATTATTGGCCTTTCAATTCTGGGAAATCTCTTTACTTTGTTTTCTTGTGTTGATCTCATATTCCTAATGAAAGTTAATATTCATCAAAGCTGCAAGTCATGTAAATAGAAACCATGAATGATATTCATCACAACAATGGTTCCGCTTCATTTGGAGAGAGCTATTATCATAATGAACATCATTCACAATTGGGATGAACATTTGTACTATGTTTTCTTGTATTGATCTCATATTCCTAATGAAGTTAATTTTCTTCTTCTTCTTCTAAAAAGTTGAATCCCCGACCCTAAGGGCCCCACATCCTGGCCTGACAGAGCATTTGAAAAATGTAAATCATGATGACTCAATGGCTCAGCAGATAGAGCCAAATGACACCTAGATCTCTTCTCCGAAATACTACCTACTGAACCATTAAACTAAGCCTGTGCGAGGATGAAGTTAATGTTCTGTCCTGACAATATTCCTCAAAACTGCAAGTTATGTAAATAGAAACCATGAATGATATTCATCACACTCATTAGGGAGGACTATTATCCCAATGAACACCAGACACAATTGGGATGAACATTTATTTAGCAAGGAATGAATGTATGGCAACTGCTTTTAAAGGAATTATTTGCTTGAAGTGTGATAAACCAGCAACCAACCATATGTATATATCCAAACATCAACCAAAAGCGCAACAGAAGAAGAAAAATGCAGCTGGGAAACTCGAATGAAGGTTATAGATCATAACAAATAGCAGGTTATAGTTCTGCAACAAAGCTACAGTTTTGACAGTAAAGAGAGGCAACGGTTATCTTATCTGCCAATCTCGACGAAGAAACTAAGGTTGTTATTACTCGGTTGCCTTGCCTTTGCGCCTGCTGCTGCTACCGCTGGTTTCTACAAGGTAACAAACCATCGAATCCACATCGTCCCCGAAGATGCTGTAAGCTTCAATTACTTGTGGATAGCTGAAACCCATTGACAGCATAATCTGCATGCTGTCACTGAGAACAGAATCTGGCAATCTCGACTCACGCCCTCCATCGCTCCTAGTGTCACTTCCTGATGACCCTACATTCATTTCGATCATTTTGGTAATGGATCCATGACAGCCTCTACTAAGGTCTCGTATAATAAATGACTAAATGGAGGAGGCGCACACTTACTAGCTCCAGAAGAAGACGGTTCAGCACCAGAGGTGGAAGATTCTCGGTGGCCGGGTTGTTGCTTGTACTTGTCATTGGCAAGATACTCAGCCCTAGAAGCTTCCATTACCATGCGTTCTATTTCCTTCTCGGTGAGCTCAAGATCTGAAATAAAGCGCCCTTCCGCTAGAAGGATCTGCAATTTGAAGAACATCAACCTAATTAGAAAATGCCAGTGCGATTAGGGTAATAAGTTGTCAGGGTACTCGCATTATCAATTTGTTGGTCCTGTTGTGCCTTAATTGCTGCTTTCACTTGATCCTTATCAACATTTCTCTGTAAAGTGTAAACCACACAGATCATAATATTAACTCCTTGTAACAAATATAATACGAATTCCTTTTTTTAGATATAAGAGCGGTGAGATGTTGATTTGAGACTTTACCCCTTCCAAACAGCGAAAGCCAAGTCCTGCACCAATTGTTAATCGCCGAGGATCAACCAGGGAGTTGTAATGATTACCATGATGGTAGCTTAGGCGAATAGGAGGGGTGTCCGTATTGTAACTTCCATGAAATATGTTGATAGGCTCTGCATCCGTCAACCCCATGAAGTTAATTTCTAGGTACTCAAGAAAGCGAAATTTATACAGCAAGCATAGCAACTGACATAATTTCAAGTAAACTAGCACCTGTGCTATATGAATATATATGGATAGGTCGATTGTACATTTCACATAGAGCTTGAATCTCCACATTGTTACCGTAAACCTGCAATCCCAAACCACAATAAACTATCACTATAGTGTGTGATTTGAAGAATATCTTAGACACATGCACGTCAGACTTGAAGAAACCAAGGAGAGAATGCTATGAAAATAATATAACACAAAGAAATGGAAAGAGAAGAATTACTGTTCTCAGAATAATAGCAATGAATATTCTATTACAGATGGGAAGGCATGGCTTAAGATGTAAGATGTACAATGAAAAAGTATTGAAGTGCATACCTTATCTCTACGTTTTCTCTTGCAATATGAAGTGAAACCTTCTGTTATAAACTGAGAGAAGTGGTCTCTTTCACGTTCCTAGAAATAAAAACATGAAGTAAATAGATATTACCAATAAAGGATCCAAGATTCAGAAAATCAGAAAGATTTAGATGACCAATTAAATGATCAAGAGAGAGGTAGCAATGGACACTATCAACATTTAACACCCTAAAATTTCCAACTACTCATGCATTAAACAATACAAAATAGATCTATCTATTAATTACAATTTGTGAATGTGACCTGCCAAATTAATTTCCAGCAACAAGAAATCCACCAAAGCTATTTTATTTTGATTTATGTTACCAAGTGTTTGAAAATGGGGAGAGAACACAAAAAGGTGTATCATCTAAAGCATGCACATATAACATCCTATCGTCTGAATTAACTATTAATCATTTTCAATTAATAAAGAAATGAAAATCTTAAAAGTATTTATTTTAAAAACTAAAGATAGTAAAATCGTTAAAATCCTTGAAAATATATACCGTTTCTGGAGCATTCACATAATACGTTTCATCATATCAAAATTTCAAAAACCAGTTAAGCAGTTTCCAGAAAGCCTTTGTCTAAGTATAGGAGAGGCAAGGGAATATCAAAAGTAAGCACGCAAATCCTTCCCCACCTCACCTATTTCCTTTGCAGAATTGGGCATACGGGCAATATGACATTCTTCTCTAAAATAATAGTGCATAACGAAATGATTTTACCTGCTTGTAAGACTAATACAATAATATAAAAAATAATAGCAATCGATCATTCATATAAATATACACAATATTCACAAATTTAATGAAATTGAAAAAATCCCCCTTTAGAATTTAGATATATGGCAGAAAAAGTAAACATCTGCGCTCTGCCTGTATTGATCTACTACATGCAAAGACAAGGGTCAAATGCTATTGATTACTTTTCTCTGATAGTGACACACCTATACATCCATAACAAAAGAATTGAAGATACAGGTCTTCCCACCACATTTCCATTTTGTTAATTTGTTCCAAGGCAACAGGTTCATTTTTTCCCTTCTAAAATATGTACAAGGATCAATATTACTGCAGCTCTTCCAGAACATCTTTCTAAAGCAGACAAATTTTATGTATTCCTCTTGTTTTTACCTATATTCACAATCATTTGAAGAATGTTCTTCAGCTAAATAATGAAGATACTCACTAAGTGCACAAAAGCTAAATGAGAACAATATTCATCATTTGAAGAATGTTCTTCGGCTAATCTATAGGTCGACACAAAACTCAGTGAATTATGTGAAGAAAGTAGCCATTTCATTTTTCATTATTTTCACAGACTAGTTAGCTTGAGAACATTTCTTAGAAACTGGAATCATGCATAGAAAGTTACTAAAATCAATGAAACCAGAACTTGCTTCAGGACATGTCAGAATATTTAAAATTAAATTCTGACTGCAATAATAGAGTTACCATGTAGTCAATGCACATCTGCCTAACCAAATCGTAAACTTCAGAATCACCATACACTTGATCAGCAACAGCTCGAAAGAGGCAGTTTCCATCTTCCATCATTTTCTTGACTTCCAGACCTTTAACTCGTCTTAGATCAATTTCAAATTGGCGTTCTCTTTCCTGATATAAGTATAGAACATTTAGATTTGCAGAATTAGAAGTACTGCAACTATATATGAAACCCCTTCTAATGAATTAGCACTTAGGCCTAGAAAATGGAGGTTTATATTTATAACCAATTCAAAACTGCATCATAGATCCCCCACATTTACACAAAATAATAATAATAATCCTCATTTCAATTAAAAGGCAACATTTTGTTACCACCCAAAGTTTGTATAAGTTATGATTGCTTTAAAAATTTAAAGTAACATAAAATGAAACAAAAATGGTAGTTCATGTTTATAACTGATTACAACAGCATCTTAGATTCCCCAAAGCAAAAAATGAAAATAAACCAATAATAATAATTTACTAGAAGTAAATGTTCTTTGGACTTACTGCATCATCATAAGGGGGACCAAGGGATGGGCCTTGCTCATCAGCACTGTTATAACCTTCACTTTCACAGTGAGACCGTGGGGAAGAAGGCCGGGATCTGGTTGGTGAAGTTCTAACTGAAACAATAGGACGGCCAAGAGGCCCCCTAGATGGTCCTGTTCGCACAGCATTTGAACTGCCAGATGGATACCTCCTCAGATTTGAGTTCATTGAAGTGGGTTTTGGAGGTGGCACCGGAGGAGGAGGTGGATATGAACTACCAGCAGTTGCAAGCAAAGAACTTCCTTCATTTTCCTCTTCCACAACTCCCAACCCACCAAGACCTTTTAGCGAATCCTCAGAAACAAAATCATTATCAACTATTTTCTCCTCATCAGCTCTCAAATCATTGCTCAAGTTTTCTGGTGAAAAATCCTCACTTTTCTCACTTCTCACTGGCTTGCTCTCAAAACAATCAACTGAAAACTCATCCAGGGAAACCTGCTCTTGAATTTCAGCTCCCAACTCATTGTCTTTCCCAGCTGACGACACCTGACTGTTGCTAGTAGTTTGTGGTTGAACCAAAGCTGAAGACGAAGAAGAAGAAGAAGATGAACTAGGCAGTGATGTCAATGATCTATTCTGGTTTGATGATGAAGACGAGGACCCATTAGAACCCCGCTGAACAAGTATCCGAGTCATTTTCTAAGTTTTCTTCAACCAGATGCCTGGGTGACAATTATTTTGCTTAACCTAAGATTAGAGGAACATAAACCCCTTTGTTTTCAACTTGTCGCGCTTCCTGGCCTTAGGTGCAGTAACCCCAATCCCTTGGCTGAATGATTCGTCCGAGTAGAAGTCAATTTCCCTCTGCTCCTTGTGAATCAATTTCTGCATTCCCCTAACAATTCTCATGAGACCTTGACCTCCAAAAATTCTTCTTTCAAACAACAAAACCTTATTTCTTTAAGCTACTCAAAATAATGCAAAAGTAAAAGCAAGGCCCGAAACACAAAAATTCACCTCCTCTACTCCCAACTGCAATCGTAAAATCAAATCACCATACAACCCAACAACAAAGTATCAGAAATGCATTCCCGATCACTTAACACGCAATAATATGAAAAGCCCATGAATAAAAATCAAGTTCAGAACAAAATTCAAGAAACTAAAACCCAAAAATAATAATAATCATAAAAGAAACGGAAAAAGTTTAAATT